AAAGTTTTGCAAAACATTTTTTTAAATATTTCCAAAAATATTTTTGCTACAGCCTATTATCATATATCTATCTCTTCTAGTTTAGCCAGAAAATGCTTTTAATGTTTTCCAAAAGCTTTTTTTAAATATCTCCAAAAATGTTTTTGCTACAGTCTATTATCATATATTGGCAGAATCTGTGGATTCCTTGTGGATTCCCAGTGATCACAAAAAACACTTATAATCGCTCTATCTCTTCTAGTTTAGCCAGAAAACGAGTTTAAAGTTTTCCAAAAACTTTTTTTAAATATCTCCAAAAATATTTTTGCAACAGCCTATTATCATATATTGGTAGAATCTGTGAATTCCCAAGTCATTACAAAAAACACTTAAAATCGCTCTATCTCTTCTAGTTTAGCCAGAAAACGCGTTTAAAATTTTCCAAACGATTTTTTTAAATATCTCCAAAAATATTTTTGCTACAGCCTATTGTCATATATTGGCAGAATCTGTGAATTCCCAGTCATCACAAAAAACACTTAAAATCGCTCTATCTCTTCTAGTTTAGCCAGAAAACGCGTTTAAAATTTTCCAAACGATTTTTTAAATATCTCCAAAAATATTTTTGCTACAGCCTATTATCATATATTGGCAGAATTCCCAGTGATCACAAAAAACACTTAAAATCGCTCTATCTCTTCTAGTTAAGCCAGAAAACGTGTTTACAATTTTCCAAAACCTTTTTTTAAATAGCTCCAAAAATATTTTTGCAACATCCTATTATCTATCATATATTGGCAGAATCTGTGAATTCCCAGTGATCACAAAAAACACTTAAAATCGCTCAATATCATCGGTTCCCAAACATTTTTCTCTTGTAGACCCCTTGTCGTGTTTTTCAATTTTTGTTATACCCAGGCTACTTTCTTTGATAGATGTAAATTTTTAACAGTAGCAGGATACACCTATAATGTGAGAAAGTTAAATACAAAACTAATTTAATTAAATTCATATTTTTTGATAGACCCATAGCAGATCCTCATTGACCCCTGGGGGTCTATATAGACCCCTTTGGGAATCACTGCTCTATATCTTCTAGTTTAGCCAGAAAACGCGTTCAAAGTTTTGTAAACAGATTTTCTGGGTGAAATCTTTGAATTTCCAATGATTACGAAAACGCTTAGAATCGCTCTAATAATGTAGAACTACGTACTATAGGATACTGGCTATACTGAAGTTTCCGAAATATTAGGGAACTGTTGTCACTTGGAAATATCTCCAGCTTTGTAGATAACGCCACGATACCCTTAAAAATCTACAACATAATCGCTATTCTTACTGGAATAAAACCCATTTTAGAGCGATAATAATTTGTAATTTCTTTTTTAATGTTTTTAATATAACATTTAATCAATTATTTAAAAAAAAAATATTTGTAAATCAAGTTTATTCTTTTATAAAAAAAAATATATTTTATTTTATTGTACGTGAAAATACTTAAATACTTTCATACATTTAAGATAATTTTTAAATATCTTTTCTTCAACAATTTTTAGATTAAAAAATCAATTCTTTTTTTCTTAATTTGTATTTTTAAATACATAAAATTTTTTACCGACCGCATTGTGTACAGAATGAGGTAGGTTTGTGATGGCAACCAATTTTGCATATCAAGTTTTCTGTGGGAATGCACTTCTCCATAGTAGGGAAGTGTAAGTAAACTATTTTTAGCAACCTGTCGGTCTATATGTCTATATGTCTGCATCTCAAAATTTGGCTAAACCGATTTTGATGAAATTTTATATGTAAGTTTTTTTTGAGTTATGTCACGGATTAATCAACTTTTGGGATATATCAGGCCTCGGGAACTGGACCTTTTAATGTGCCATTTTTGATCATTTTGAAGAAAATATTCAACTTATACAAGGTTCATTCAAGCGTACGCGAAATCTTCTAATTTATGAAAGGCATCAGGTGTTAACAATTGGACGTTTACTACGGGCCGAATATACATTTTTGCGTATATAAAGAGAAATAATCAACCGATTTCATTGAAATTTAATATTTCAATTCGAGGTGTTAAAACAATGAATATATAAATTTTTTAAAAAGATCAGAGCTCGGAAACTGATCTGCGGGTCGATTTTACATTTTTCACCATATCTACGAAATGAATCGATGGAATTTTTTAAAATTTAATATTTGAGCTCTGGTTGTTACCAGATGTTACTGACAAACTTTTTGTATAATTCGAATGGCACAAAATGAAATTCTCCTAAGAACCAAATTCATATTTTTCTAGGTATCTTAAATGAAAGCTTATTAGTGTCCTTAAAATTATTATTACGGTTATATGCGGACCATATCAAATTTTTTTAAATTGCCTTTATAATATATTAAATTATTAAAATGTTAAAATATGTACTTTTAAATATTTAAACGTACAATACAGAATTAAATTTTCAATTTGGAATGATTAAAAACAAAATTATTGTATTTATATTAATCTTCATTCATTCTGTAATTTTTACAATTTAACTTACCTACACATATAAAAGAAATTCATTACATTCTTTAAAAAAACAATTGAAGAAAAATTTCACCAGGACATGCGATATGTACTTAAATATATTCATTAAGGCACGTAAAAAGGATATTTTCTTTTGGGGTTTTTAAAAATAGAAATAAAAAAATAAAAAAGTTTCCCTTTTATATTTTACTATTGTATCGAGGAAGTGAAAGCAAACGAAAAAATTCTTTGATGCTCTTAAGTACATTCCATGTAACACAAAAAAAAAACCCCAAGTGAAAAATCTTAAAAAATAAAGAAAGTCACGTTTTTTTTCATTATTATAAAGAAAGAAACGATTTTCTTACTTTGGTTAAGAATAGCAGAAAAACAAAAATAAATACGCTTTTTTTTTAAGCAATTGAAAATTTCTTTACTCCATTTACATTTTTTAAAAGGACATTCAATATATATATATATATATATAATAAAGGATATTCGATTTTGGTCAATTTATTTTTTCTTGTTTTATTTTTCAGTATATAATTTTTCTATTAAAAGAAAAATACTTTAATCTTCCATTTATTTTTTAAGTAGCAATGGCTTTTAAGAATACAAAATGAAAAACATAAATTTAATATGCAATGCGTTTAATACACAATTTAAGTACAATTCATATTTTAAATAATAATAATATAGCTTTAGTTATAAATATACATAATATATACATATACTCATGGAGAAATTTAGAGTTGAATGAGCTTATTTAGCACTTTGTTATATTTTCTCATAAAAAAAAAAAATAATATTAACAATTTTTAAAAATTAAATTCTTTTAGTAAAAAAATTTATTGAAAGTTTGCTTTTCACTCAAAAAAATACAATTTCAATGGAAATTAATTGCATAGTTTGCGACTTGAATTAAAGAATGAACTCATTGCAATATGTTGGTCTCCAAAACCAAATTTTTAGTATAAAATACATACGTACACAAATATGTATTAAAAATATGGAACTCAAATCGTTATTGTAAAAGAATTTGGCCGAAACAATTGCAATACTACCCCTTCGTTACATTTGGTCCGTCTGTCCGAGTATTGGTTTTTACTCCATCTCAGAAGAAAAGCTGAAATTTTGTATACAAATCTTTATTGGAAACTTACATATTTCTATAGAAGAAAATTTGTACATATCTCACCTTTTTTCCCCACAATTCCGCAAACGTAGAAAGGCAACGACTTGATATATTTTTACGCCAGTAAGTAATGTAGCGGATTGTTTTAAAAAACCGTATTCTCACTTACTCGAGGAAAATCGTTACTTTACAAACCGTTGGTTTGACCCAACTTTATTTGAAATGCTAATTGGTTAGTTTCGTACTTTTTTTAATATATTTAATACTTTATAGATCATGTCATATGCTGGGACAATAAATGAAGTTTTCTTAGAAATTTTTTTTTGCTTTGCTTACAAAACATACTTGAGTTTACTGAGAAGTTTTTTAAATGTGTCAATCATATAACTTAAGTGTGAAAACAAAACAAAAAAATGAAATAACAAAAGCCCATAAAATGAAATTTAAAAAAAAATTTTTTATTTTTATATAGTACTTAATTTACCTTACCAGAAAATTATTAAAATTAATAATATAAAAAAAATATATATGTAGTTATTGTATTTATAAGCAGAATATCAGTTATATTGGAATAAGTGACGACTATAGGTACTAAAAAATTATGACCACACATACTTATTAAATACTCAATTTGATAAAGTGTTGATCATGGGAATGATTCCCATGTATTATTATCAAAACTACATTATTATTAAAATATTTAAAGTAAAATTCATAATAATATAATTAAATAAACAGTAAAGTTAATATTATGAATACACGTATATCATTCGAATTTCTAATATTAATCGTATATTGATAAATTTGTTATATATTTTAAAAATTGATAAAATTTTATTTAACACAAAAGTATTTTTGCAACTGGCTCTACACAAAGGATATATAGATCAGAAAATTTTGTTTAAATTATAATTAAATTTTCTTAGAATAATTAAAGAAGTAGAAGAGCAACTAGATTTTTACCTTTTTCAAGATATAATATCACAGAAGAATATGCTTATGATGGAAAAACAAATTGTTTCTATGATACAAAGAGCTTTAGTATAGAAGAATTCAATATTATTAAATTCTGAATTTCTAAGATCAAAATAGTGATCAAACTTTAATTAATTTTCGTATTCTGGAAATTTTAAAATTCCATTATAAGCAATATATGTAAGTATATACATAATATCAAAAATACACTCTATACATTGATGTGATATTTAATTTTTTGAAAAAAATTACTTCTTCTATTTATTATTCTCTCTTTCGAGGTTCTTCTGTAATTTTAAAAATCACGAAGCTGTTATATATTAAGCTTTTACCAAGAAATTTTAATGTATGCGGAAAAAAAAAATCTTTTAAAACTATAAATTGAAAATCACATGAGATCATTTAATATTTAAAATTTATAAAAGAAAGATGGGTAACAGAAAACCAACCCAGATACTTTTTTGTCTTTTATTGTTTTGTACAATAAATCTAACAACAAGTCAGAATTTTTTCAATGTACCATCAGCATTTATTAATGGGGCAGAATCAGTTGTTGAATCAAAATCAAAACCAGAAGCACAAGAAACTACTACAGAGATTCCTGTTTCGCAGGGCTTCCCAACTATTAATTTTGGAAATAAAAATATTTCTATATTTCTAAGTAACGAAACCATTTATGAAAATGGAACTTCTTCATTAAGGTATAAAAACTTTTCTGAAATTTACTATAATTTTTGTTTTTTGATTAAAATCAATTTATTATTAATTTTAGATTTTCTTTATCAAACGGAATTGGATTCAATATAAATTCAGAACCTAAAGAAGAAAATGGAATGAAATTTTATGTATCATCTGGTACTTTTGAATTTAGAACACCAGATTCGTTTTCGTACATTATCGAATTTGAGGCTGAACCGAAGAATTTTACACTTGTTAATTGTAAGTTAATTTCGATATTTAATTTGATTGTACATACATATGCAACACGTTTTAATCAAATAATAATGATTTTTTAGTTGAAAGAAAAAACAAAGTTTTACAAAGAGCTAATCCAAAAATTTTAGCAGCATTAGCTGGACGGTAATATGAGCATATTTTGACGGCATCTGAATTCAATCTTAATATTATTTCTATATAAGAAATCATATTTTTTGTTAAATATTTTTATAAAATAAATAAGAATTATTCTAAAATCAATGTCTTAATAGTTGATCATTTACATACATACACATAATTATTTTAATGCTTTGTTTTATTTAAATCCCTAAATACTAACAAGCCCAAATCCGGCAAAGTAATTTTATGGATAGCAAAATGAAACCAAAATACAATATTAAATGCATTACTCTTTGTAAAAAATTTTATAAATTCTTTTTTGTCTTATTGTACAATTTGCTTATTCTTCAAATTTTTTATTTCAATATCATCATAGCCAAGAACATTTTTTAAAATTTCACTTGTATGTTGACCTAAAATAGGCGGAGCAGTTCTAGCATTATTTTCAGCAATTTCATAAACAACAGGTGGACCAACAACCTTGACTTTTCCATCCATTAAATGATCTAATTCTTTAACTAAATTTATACTTTTTATATGAGGATCTGAGAAAACTTCTTTCATATTGTTAACAGGACCAACGGGAAAAGAAGCATTTTCAAAAACTTTCATCCAGAATGATGATGTCTGTGTTTTAAATACTTTCGATAATATTGTAATAAGTTCTTTTCTATTTTTAACTCGATCTTTATTTGTAGTAAATTTGCCATCAGTTAATAAATCGTTTAATTTCAATATTCTACATAAATGTTGAAATTGATCATCACTTCCTGTTCCCAATGTTAAATAACCATTTGATGTTTCAAAACTTTCATAGGGAACTATACTTTCATGAGCAGTACCCCAACGTTGAGCCTCCTTGTTAGCATTAAGGTAATTGCTAGCTACATTTATTAATGAGGCGACCTGCGTAGATAAGAGGTTAACGTCAATTTTTTGACCTTGGCCATTTTTTTCACGTTGAAGAAGCGCAGCTAATATTGCACCATGAGCGTAAAGGCCAGTTGCAATATCAGTAACTGCAACACCAACTTTTGCAGGTGGTCCATCAGGATGCCCTGTTATATGCAAAAGTCCTCCCATAGAAGCAGCAATAACATCATAGCCTGGTCTTTGCGAATATGGTCCTATTGAACCATAACCGGTTATTGAACAATATATTAAATGAGGAGCAAGAGTTTTCAAAGTGCTATAATCCATGTTATATTTTTCAAGAACACCAGGAACAAAATTTTCAATTAAAATATCTGATTTCCTTACTAATTCATGTAAAATCTTTTGACCTTTTTTAAAATCTATGCAAATACTTTTCTTATTGCGATTGACAGATTGAAAATATACGGAATCTTTTGAGTTTTTTAAAAATGGTGGTCCCCATTTTCTAGCTTCATCACCAATATTTGGTCTTTCAACTTTTATTACTTCCGCACCCAAATCAGACAAAACCATAGAACAATATGGTCCAGCTATAATCCTTGTTAAATCTAAAATTCTTATTCCCTTTAATGGATGGACTTTAGTTGAAGTTACAAAAAACCTGCTTTGCGTTTTATATAATTTTGCTAATTTTAAGAAATGCATAATAAATATTTCTGAACTGGAATGCGCAAACAAATATTCATACACTAAGTAATAATACTATTTAAATCTAATATCACTAAATACACTTTGATAATAGAACTAGACACATTTATCAGACTCGATCATTTTTAAAAGCTTGAGTTTGTGAGAATGTATGACTTTTGGATACATTTGTATTAATATTGCTTTTATCTTATTTTAAAACATATTTACATAATTCACATATATTTGTTTAAATAGAAGTATGGTTTTAAAAAAACATCAATTTCATAGAAAAATATCACATATGTAGGTAATTTGTTTTGTTTTCAGAATTATTTACTGTCAGTGATATAATCAAAATCAGCTGTGTAATTTGCCAACAGTGATAGGACACAAAATTTTAATAATCGTCAATTTGATGTGTCAATTTTTAAAGTTAAATTTCCACAGGAAATATCTTACAGTTAATTAAAATCAAAAATTGTTTTTAACATACAAAGTAATAAAACATATTCGGATATATGTACATATGTACGATTGTAATGCTATTGCAAAATTAAATTTAAATTTGGAAAATTTTTTTGAATAAAAATCAAAACAAACCACTTAAATCTAAATCGCTTAATTAACTGAAAATGAACTCTTACAAGTCAAGTAATAATATCTTTTGCTATAAATTCGTTCTAAAATCACATAAAAATTAGACACAAATTTCAGTAGTATTTTAATCATATCAACAAATTTAGACGGGTTTACGGGATGTTCATATACTGAAATTCAGATTAATTCCAAAAATTTTATTTATTAAAGAAAAAAATATTAAATAACTTTTAAGCTGGTACGTATTAATTAGCTCATTTCGATATTTTGGAGTAAATGTGTACTCATCCTAATCATTTGCAAAAAATTTAACATTTCTGTATTTTCATTAAGTTATTAAAATATTATTTTGAGATGATATATTTTTTATTAGTGTTCAATAACATTAAAAAAAATATTTGTGTGGGTGATTTATTAAAAATAAGAATACTGATCCCCACTAGATGTAAATACCTGTGATAACAACTCTGCGTAAATACTTTCAAAGCAAATTTTTACTTAAAACATGTGATATCGCTCCCAAAATTTAAAAAATAAATAAAAATTTATTTTATTTCTAAAAATAAAATATATTACATTTGATTTATTTAGCACGGTATTAAAACAAAAATTCTATTTACAATTTCATATTAAAAAAACAACTAAGCAACAACCATATGAGTTTTGGATCGTAAAAATTTCTTTAACTTTTTTAAAAATTTTTCTTTCGGTATACCATCGCTTGCTCTGTAGATGGAATATTCAATTGTTTTGCCTTTTCTTTAGATCTCCAAACCTGGGTACAATCGATAAATGATCATATTATTTAAACTAATTGAATTTAGCAGATGTTTACCTTAATTGAATAATCATCACTAGTTGTTATTAGCATTTCAGAATCTTTAGGATTAAAAGCAACACCGTTAACAACGTCTTGATGTTTATATTTAGCAAGACAGTGGCCATAAAATCGGTCCCATATATAAGCATGTTTATCCTCTGCTCCACTACAAGAAATGTACATATTTCATATTTATTGTATTTTTGAAAGTAATGCCCAAAAAAAAAAACAAAGAAAAAAAATTACCTTGCAACGTAATCATCGCAAACATTTAAAAAAATGAAAAAACATTCGGTATTCGGTGTGTAGGCTTTATGAGCTCTAAATATATTTCCTATTGATTCTAAAGTTGTCATATCAATAACATGTATTTCAATTTCTTGTGCTATGGGCGGAGGTTCCAGTGGATTTGTAATCACGTAATTTTTAGGCCAAGGCCTTGTGTTAACATATAGAAACCTTAAAAAAATTTCTAATATGCATATTATTAGAAATAACACTTTAATAACTAACCTATGATCTGGACTTAATGCCATTCCTATAATATGTCCATGAAGATCTATAATTTTATCAATTTTATCAAAACGATCCGCTACAGAATCATAATCTCTCCAATTAGGCTCCTCTCGTGGATCGTTCTATGTTAATAATGTCATTAATAATGAAAATCAAAAATAAACTAACATACCTGTTCTCGAGCTCTTTCTTCTTTCTCTCTTTGTTTTGCCACATACCTTTCTCTTAATGATGGACCAGGATCAAGTTTTGTAGGAAAATGTATATTCTGAATTCGTTTAAAACCAATTTCGTGAGGTAAATATGTTTTTGATCCAGTAAAGAAAATTAAATATTTCGATAAAGAGTTTTCTAAGTCATCATAAGCATCGTGTGATTTCCATTCTTCATTATTGTTTTCTTTACTATGATTTTTTTCTTGACCATTTTCATCAAATTGGTATAAATTATTTTCAAAATATTTTTTTCTATAATTACACAAATTTTCAGATAAAGGATCAATATCCCGTTTATTTGTTGTTCGAAAGCACTTCCGAAAATTTTCTAAATCGAGTTCTGAAAAGTTCAATAACAAATCTAATATTATATCGTTCCTGGCATTATCTTTATCCTCAAGTAATTCGTATATTCTTTGAACTCTAGAATCAGCAGTAAAACTTCCGTTTCTTAATTCATTACATATGGCTTCTATATCAATATTATCGCCTTCAAAATTTAAATGTTCGATTTTTAAAGGATCATTCATATCATTAAGCCAAGGACAGTTCGCTATCATTATTGCACGAATAGAACTTGCGTTTCTATTATAAAACTTGTATAGTTCGGTCATTATGGGTTTATTTTCTGAAGAAATTTCCTGATTCGCTTTATTTAACCATATTACTGATCTACTAATTAAGTGGGCTAACCAGTGAAGATCACCTGACAGCAAATATTGATCACTGAACCAAGTGCCAAATATATCGTACGGACGATTTGCCATACGACAACGTAAAGACAATGAGCCTAAAAAAAATATAAAATTTTAAATCTGGAAATTCTGGAAATGTTTTTAATTATCAATTAAATATACCAACCTACTTTCATCTATACTGAATACAGCAATTTCACCCATGGATGACCCAAAAAGCACCCCAGATACCAGGAGAAGTGTATCTGTTTTATTAAATTGTGAAAAATGAGTTGATTTCCAACTATATTTTTCCATATGCTGAACACCTTTTACTGAACATGGATGTTCAGAGTTCCATAACTGAAATATTAAACTTATCAATCGACATATACCTAGTAAAAATAAGAAAAATGTCTTACAATAACACTTGAATCTTTCGAACAAGTTGCAAACATTTTCCCATCATGAGAGAAGCTAACATGTAAAACCTGATGTGAATGTTGTTCAAGAACTTCTGTTAGAACAACAGGTATATTAAAAGTCAAGCGTTTATATTCTGCTTTCCATGAGCTAGCACCTATTTTCATTAAAATAAATAATAAATACAAATACATATATAGGAACTAAATTAATTTTATTCAAAATTTTCCAAACCTGGTCTTAGTTCTACCAAAGTATCAACCATAAAATCACGATGAAATAATTTTCTCCATATATAGTCATCTTTACACATTTCGTTATATCTATTACAAACTGATGCTAAAGATAAAATATCCTTAGTTTCTAAATTAAGTAATATTTTTATGAACACTTCTTGTGGTATTGACCACCAATTACTTTTTATAACTTTTACTTTCCTTGTGATCATATCGCAATAAAATTAATTTATAATATAACTGAATGATAAATAATCGAATATCGAAATTAAAATGAGAAATAAAAATTTTAAACTATATTACTTAATTAATTTTTGCATTTATGCGAAAATATTTACAAGCTAACATCATTTTCACTATGGGAAAACAAACTACTGCTCATTGTCAAATCACAGATGTTATAAACCAAAATACAAAATCAAATTTAGAAATGATATTAAGGATGTAAGATACGAATGTCAAATATTAAGGAATCGATTCTAAAAACAAAGATCGATTTTTGAAAAAATTTGATTCCGTAGCCAAAATTTCATGAAATTTCTCTCTTGTTAAACAAAATTTTAAATTTTACGCAAAATGGTAAATAAGTATGCATAACATTATTCACATTAAACTTATTCAAATCTCAATTATAATTAAAACGACTTTGTGCATTAAAGCATTAAGTACAAATGTTTCGCACATAGTTCTCTATTAATAACGGTCGGCGATTAGATTTGTCAATGCATTCTTATAAAATTCTTAGGTCTTACAGTTTACATATCTATACATTATGTAGGTATGTAAAAATTCAATGTAAAAATTATGCAACTACACCATATTGTTTCCTTTTGTACCTTATGCATTTAAAATTCAAAAATATTCTATTTGCATAATCATTGTTTTCATCTTAAAATTAAAATATAAATTCTTTTATTTTAACCTTTTGTAATTATTGTAAATATTAAATACTGAACTTTATTTTGTGTGGTTACATTGTAAATAATACGTATGTATATCAATTTACATTTGACTATTTTTCATTTGTTATAATCGAAGTCCTTGATTTAAAGGATGTCATTATAACAAAATTTTCGATTTTGTTTTCTATTCCAACGTAATAACGAAAAATAACGATTTAAAAATGGTTTTTTTTTAATTAAAAAAAATTACTTAATATTTCCTATACATACATTATGTATAACAGTATAACAGTATGCACATATTTTAGATGGTAATGAACTTTCTTAAAATTTAATCAAACACAAAACATTTACTGCAGCTTGTTCAAGGAAAATATTGTCTTTTCAAAATATTTTCTTCAAAGAAATTCAAAATAATAATTTAAAACAATAAAACAATATAAACTATATTTTAATAACCAAGGTGAAAACTTGATTAAATGAAGATTCTGTTGTAAGGATATTATCATAAATTTAAAAAGGTTTTATTCATGAATATTTTTATTTTAAATATGTAGGTTTTGCTATAAAAACAAAAATTGTAAACGCACCCAGATTGTTGAAAATTTATCGATTTTCTTTTGTTTTGCATTTTATTGTACAGAACTGTTGTATTTGTGTTAGTTTTTCACTACAGTGAGAACTACATATACAGTAATTGCATGACAATTCTAGAGTTGATTTTATTGTTACAAATTTAAAATACTACTACAAAATGTGAATAACATTTTATTTTATTTACTATTGTTATTTTATTATTTAATTTACATGAATCTTTTATCTGAAAGTAAGACCATTAGTTCTGAAAGAATATTATATTCGTTCTAAGACTTCAATAACTTTTTGCTGATCGAACCTGTATTTAATTGGTAACGTTGTAAGTACATATATTACCGACATCCGAAGTACATTACAACACAATTCAAATTGTAAACACTGATAAAATAAAATTAACGCATTCTACTTCGCATTTTATTTGCTATATATAAAGTCAACTTGAAATTAGATCTGCTTCGCTTAATAGTGTTACCATGATATTCAAATATCGGAAATAGTTTCTAGTACACCGACAAATAATGCATTTTTTGTTACAGTTTAAATAAATTTACATAAGTATAGGAATCCATTAAAAGGTCTTAAAAAATTAAGAAACACATTCTAAATGTAAATGCTTAAATATATAATTACTAAAATTCCAAAAATCCATAATAATTTAAACTTACTCAGCCCCGGATTTATCATACATGCAAAGTATGCATTTGCAGTGGGCGATAAAAAATAGGGGCGCCATTGAAAACTTAAAAAACCCCTAAATTTAAAAAAAAAAATTTTCACCCAAAAAAAAGGATTCCAAGTTTTTTTTTATACATCAATTTATAGCGAAATTAACTTAATAAAATCTACCTACATGCAAACATAATATTTTGTTCCTACACATATTTTCTATTTGCACCATATAACAAAAAATGTTCATAGAATTAAAATTACTCATACATTTCTTTACTCTACACTACTCTTTCATTCTTATTTTTTATGTACTGTATATGCCTATAAACACAGAATATTATTTCACACAGCTGTATACATTCAAACGTTCATATATATAAGTGAAATCGTCTCATATAATATACATACATATATAGAAGCAATGTACGCAACAAATAAAAATATTCAAAAATACACATGTACACATAATTTATATTGTCTAATATGAATAAGATCAACACTCATGCGTACACATATAATTATCTCATAAAGCAAAATTTTTATTTTGCTGAGATTGCTCCCTATCAACACTCGCTCGTACACATATAATTATATCACAAAGCAAAATTTTTATTATGCTTAGTGGCTACACTCGTTCGTACACATTATATTTAAATTGTTTCATACATGCAAAATTTTATTTTTGCTTAGTTGGCGCCCACTCACCAAACAAACAAACACATTATTATAATGTATTACTTTTCTGTATACTATTGCATTAGTAAACAACAAGAACAAAACAAAAAAAACACAAATTAAGAATGAGAATAGAAAGAAATTAGAAAAAGAGAATGAGAGCAATATTCTTAAATGATGGAAAGCATAGCTTGATATTGAGATTGTGTATACCAATATTTTGTTTTTGTTTAACAACAAAAAATTTTGAATGAATTTTAAAATTACATGATCGTTATGAATTTCTACTACTATGTTCTGCTTTCGTTTTTGAAAAAACTGTTATCAATCACAGAATTAAATTTTAATTGATAAAATCTACTACTTATATTGAATTGAAAAAATGTTGTTTAATAATCAAGTGAATGTTAAGAATTTTTATGCTGAATTGATGTAGTGTAAGTCATCCAAAAAATAAGAGTAAAATGAAATGGCGCATAATTTGCTTCACACATTTATCTCCAAAATTAAAACAGTTAAGCAAAACGACATTCTAAAATTTCAAAACCACGAGCCTATAAATACCAGTAAATGCATTTATTTTAATAAAATCTAAAAAATATAATGAACAGTATAAAAGCTTATAGCTATGTACATGAAAAGCTTAGTTTTTAAGTCACAAATTTTAGAACGAAACTTTGATTTTCCTTAAATTTTTGAATGCAAGTCGAAACTTTTTTTATACGCTGCTTCATTTCTCAGGCGATTTGTGAAATAAAAAGCCAAATTTTACGAATAAAAATAAAAATAATTATAAAAATAAAAATAAAATTACGAATAAAAATAAAAATAATTTTTTACTTTTTTTCATATTCAAATAAGCTGTGAAAAAGTTCATTTGATATAATTTTCATAGAACCTTTTACAATAAGTTTCACTTACGTCAAAAAGTAAATTTTTTGGTTGTTAAAATCAAAAAATCAAGTTTAAGTGATTGATATAAATCTGATCATAACTTCATAAAAAAACGTACAGTTAAATAAATTACCTTGTTTTTGAATTTATAAAACAAAAAATTGAAAGTTTAGTTCCAGACTTTAATTCTATAGTTCAGCACAATAAGGTTACAAGAAACTGCTTTATGATGCACAATGTGCAATGCCTATTAAATTTTGTTCACAGTAATAAAATAGGTGAAAAGGTTGAAGGGGGGGGGGGGGGGCGCACTTTTTAGGAACCGCTTAGGGCGACGAATACATCAGAACCGCGCCTGAACTTACTTATATAATATATTAAATTAAACTGTTATACTTAGATAATAATAGTTTATTAGTAACATGCTGATTACTATTCATATGAAATTTATTACAACAGAAAAACATTTTACCCTTTTTTGTTTTCCTTACAAACTTTTGAACTATGTAATTATATTTTACCCGCGTTGCAGATTGTTTTTCATCAATTTAGGCTATTATAAATTTTACTACAAAAGCAAGTATTAAAGTTGAAATTATATATACAATGTATAATGTTTTCATTTTTGATATTATTATCCTTTAAAGGATATTCATGTAATATTTTACAGATGGTTTAAATTTAGTTACATACATACAAATATTGGAATGAAAAATTAAAATCATTTTATTATTTCAATTGTTTTTATTTTATTTCTGAATGAAAACAAAAAAAAAAAACTTTTTCAGTATTTAAAATGAAAAAGAAAAAAAAATATAATTAAATTTTTCAAAATCTTATTATTTAAAATATTTTAATTTTTTAATTAAAAAAATTTTAAGAAAGTTTTTCTATAATTACATAATATGTATATATATACAATAAAAGCAAAACTGGAAAAATATTCCTGGTCTATAGTCTATACTCTAAAAACTACTCAAAAAAAACCATCATATGGAAAAGATAGAAAAGTTTTATAAAATATTTTGGCTAAGCTTAAAAGTGAGTATTTTGTTATACTTTTTTTTTTGTTATAATAATTCCTTTAATTTAGACATACAATAATGTTATATTTAAAATTCGTATACCATAAACTAAAATAACATTTGGTAAAAAAATATTGTAAAACTAATTACAAAAAATAAAAAAAAAAACGAAAAAAAATAGAGTTGACCGTGTCAACACGATGATATCCGTATGAATTTGTTATCCTATATGGGAATAAATATGCCATAGCTGACTATGGAACAGGCTATGGTTTTAAGTTGCCGTATTACCACATTAATTTATGCAAAATTTTAATACTATGTTTTCAATATTTTCTAAGATATGATCAAATTACTACTGAAGTTGTATGGCAGCTACCACAAGAAGTCAAGAAATTTTAACGATAATATCACACATAACAGCCCTAGTAATTCACTTGTTTTCATGAAATTTCTATATTATAACCCCAATAATTTCTGAGATAATGTCAAATAACTTAACAAATTGCATAGCAACTACCGAAAGGAACCAATCAATTTTAATAGCTTTTATCAAACACAATGGTTTCTTACATAT